AAAAAAAAAAAAAAAAAAGGCAGTAAGACTTTCAAAAAGCTACTATGCAAAAAGGAAGGCATCAGGAGACACACAAGACAATATTTGCATTGGGGAGAGCAGAATATTCTTCCGCCGGGCGCGCGTTGGTCGTAGAACTTTGAAACGAATTACAGAACCGCAAAAATATATCACAAAATATAATGAACGTTCAAAGTTTATGAAACCACAGTTTTAATTTTTAACGACTCAAATTAGCGGTCGCCGGCCAGTCAAATGTCATAAAAGAAAATGCAAAATGCATGCTCATTGCTTACCATGCGAATTACGGGACCGATTCCGGACCGATTCGGGACCAATTCGGGACCAGATCTCCAGGTTCACAATCGGTTGCAACTATGGAACTGAAAGAGAAGGAAGTGGTCTGAACTTCTCCGAAGTGCCAATTTAACGGAACGGGACAAAATATACCAACGGGCCTAGCTCGGTTGGAACAGTGATAAGTTTAATATCTTAAAAAAAAAAAAAAAAAAAAAAAAAGGAAATACAGACCCGCGTTGGAATAGAGACGAACGAAGAGTCCTGTGTTACGTGGGGCCGGTCGGTTCCGCAATGAGATTATGTCAAGGTCGTCGCCCTTATAAAAAAAAAAGAGAACAAAAAAGAAGAGGACAAAATATCATAAATTTGACAGGCGGTGGTGGGTGGGTACTAGAACTGCTACCCTCTTCACCGGAATAGAACATACTGTCATTTTTCCCCTGCATCTGGACTGACAGTTGGACGAAATACATACATAAATGACCGTCCGTTCTATTCGGGGGAAGACGGTAAAACAAAGACGAGAGAGGATTCAATAACAACAGCAGGGTTTTTATCAAATTTTATGACAGTTTCACGCTTATGTACAGCGTACAATAATGCCGACCAATACAATAACAAGCAACAACAAGAATGCACAGCTATTTCTCCTTCCCTCTTACTACTTCCTTCTTCTCCTGCCCATGTGCAGTTTTGCACCCATTAAACCACCAGTACCTCCCTCGTGTTTAGGGCCGTGCCGTTTCGAACGAATACAGCCCTGCGCAAACGAATACAGACGTGCGCGGCAGGTCAATTCATCCATGCGTTAATGCCCTAAAATCATGGTGGAGACGACCGTTTGCTTCAGGAACTCAGACCGTACCGTAACTTGGGCAACGACCATTTCACATTGTTTAGACGTCAATAGGTCACACTAAGGTTGTGTATAAGTACCATAATAATGATGAGTTCGATGCTGTCGCTCCCTTTGCTCTCTCTCTCAGATGACGGCATATCGACTTGTATCCCGATGCTCTGAATGAGTGGGCTCAGCAACAGGTGGCCAGGCCATGCTTGGAAAGGCTTGAACTCTCGACCCCTATCTCGAAGCTCTACGGTCTACCGCCTTTCCCCTGAATAGAATGTGCACTCATTATACCTGCATTTGGGGTCACTATCAGTCTAGATACGGCAATATTGGCCGTATCTCCTAGTCGGGGGATGACGGTAGAACCGTAGAACACAAGGAGATGCCTCGTGGATTGAACTTCAGAAAAGACGATCCGGAGACAGCAAGCGGCGAACGCAATTGACACAGGAGAACGTGCTCGCTCTCGACGGCAAGGGGTGGATCAGAAAGGCACTTCGCATGGAACTAGTAGAGAATCGCCCGCAACTGTGTTGTGGCTTTCGCAGATGATCCGGACGTAGCCAATCGCAAACAATACTGACACAGAAGAACGCACTTGCCGGGACCCTCCAAAAGATCAGGTAGTTGTCGTCAACATGTACAGTCACATAGAACTTGAGAATCGGCCGTAGCTGCGTTGCCGCCTTTCAATGACGACCCAGAGACAGCCAGTCACAAACAATATTAACACAGAAACGCCCCATGCCTGGGCCCTCTTAAACCACCAGTACACGGCCCCAGCCTTGCAGAAAGATTTCGTCGCCACAAGAAAGTCTCTGAGCAACTTTCGCAGCCGGCGCAGGCCATCGATGGAAATCGTCAATGGCCAGCGTCGTGCTTTCGGAGGCGGTGGAAGGACCGCGTCGGCCTCAGGTGCCCATGTCCTGGTGGTTTATAGGTCAATAGCAAACGCAATTGATCACAGAAGAACACACTTAAATCATCCCGTGCCTGGGCCGTCTTGAAGGTCGGGTCGTCGTCGTCGACGTTGGCTGGAAAGGTACTTCACATGGAGCTTGATAGTCGCCTGTGGCTGTGTTGTGGCTTTCAACAACGACGAAGACGGAGATCGCCAGTCACAAACAGTATTGACAGAGAAGAACACACTTGATCTCACTGATGCATCATCCTGCATACGAGACATAAACGGCTGCTGAACCATCCTGCAGCACGTGTCAACTGTGGCCTTCAATCCTAAGCATTCTTGCAGTCAGGTCGTCGTCACCCACATTGGCGGCTGAGGTGCGTTTGATGATTGCTAGCTCGCCTCACACTTCCAAAGCCTTGAAGATTCGCTACCTCCCAAAATCCTCATGGAGTTCGACGACCAGCAAATTGAGTCCCAATTACACAGTCTCTCCTTTCCGACAGTCGATCATGATGCCGCATTGCGCAAGCTGTCATGACAAGTCAAACCAATGTCTGGGACAATCGCAGGCGTCAAGCAAGTAATCCTTCATGCAGTCAGTCCCGGGTCACTGAGAGAAGGGCGCTCCTGGATCGGTGAGTAACTCCGCACTCGAGCTTCCAAAGCCTTGTGGTTGAGAAACCCCCCTAAACCTATCTGCTTCGAGACTCCCACGTGCTCACTTCCTCCCGTTACCTCACCTTTCACCCCTCCCTCCCTCCCTCCCTCTCTCTCTCTCTCTCTCTCTCTCTCTATATATATATATATATATATATATATATATATCTATCTATCTATC